TGGGGGCCTAAAGAACTGTTTTCATTCTAAGTCCTGTATATTATTATTATTTGTATTAGAGGAGTGTTTACAGATTTACCAGTGTTTCTTTGCACTATAAGCATGGCAAAAAACCCCCAACAATATGTTTTTCCTGGAAAGCTTATAGTTCAATCAAAACCTAAAAGCTACATGTAGTGAACAGAAGTAAGGACCTGACAAAGCAAAGAGAAAATTGGGACTTATTTTGCATCATAGAAAACACAGATCAGGCCAAGGGAGTGAACAGAGAATTAAACCAACACGAGGCAGATTTTGTAAAGAGCCCTGAAGGAAAGGGCAATAATTATTATATAGAAAGCACAGAAAACAAAGAGCTAGCAAAAGGCTTTAAGGGACAGGGGAGAAAGTATCTAGATGAGCCTGCTGCTTCTCCATCTCTGTGAGGGGCAGTATAATCCTAGCTTTGAAAATATACATCACTAACCCCAAACCACCCCAAACTAAATATAGTACCAAAATAGAAAAAAAACTATGAGCTCAAAACAGACATAGCAGCCCTGAGACTACTGAATTTGCTGTAGCAATTACCTATCCACAATATTACATAGTCTCCAACCAAATACTATTAGAGTGGTTCTCAGAGCAATTCAAAGACACTGCTGCACTTCATCAAATCATTTTTGGACATCCCACGAGCTTTCAAGAGAACCATCATTCTCACGAGTATGATTTGTTCATGTTTCACTACAATCTGGTTTTCAAAAATTCGTTTCTTCCCTGGTTTTTTTCCTATTTGAATTTTTAGATTGGTTTAGAGGTAAGAAAAATCTTTGCATTTTTCAAACACCAGCTTTTTTTGTTCCTTTAAGAGAGCTCCATTAAACAAGGACTCACGCCTGCTGGTCTGCAGGGAAAGCAGGCTGAGGCATCAAAAGTATTGCAGTTAGGGAATTTAGTCCTTCCGATGCAATCAGTCTGCAGTGTGATCTGATTAGATTCAAAGACTCAAACCTGAAGTCCAGGACTTCGGGTCAAGACATAAATAAACAAAGAGGATGAAAGAGCAGTCTGCAGGGCTTAAACGAACCTTAGGCTCCACAGTTCAGGTTAAGATTTCTAAGGAATGCAAGCCAGGGGGATTGATTTAACACAGCATTAAAAAACATCTGGAAGAGAAAAACATGTACATCAAAAAATAATCATGAGAAAATCTTCTCCACGTAAAATAATTAGCATAATGTGTGACATATAAAATAATTTTCTGCACATATACCCACACTGCCACCATCAGCCTTGCTTTCTCATTTATTCAGGTGAACCTGTACCTGGCAAACAGGCACTTATGGATAACAGAGGAGGTGCTGAGCTGCTGGAGACTTCAACACTGCTGCAAAATAGAGTATGTGTTCATATGTGTTTGTGCAATGGACACTCGCTGTGCAATATTATCTTGTCTCTACAGACAAATTAGTTGCCTCATGCTCCTGCCAGCTTGATTTGTTTGGCCTTTACAGAGTACAGGATACATGGAGTTTCTTGTGATTGAATCTCACGTAAAAGGTAAACCTGAGAGTTTATTCTACACTATGCTATACATCCACCAAGGCAGCTGGAGCATTTGCTGACTTGATGTTGAAAAAAAGGCTATAAAATATAGCAGGGAAATCTTGAAACGTCGCTCACTTGACATAGCAGTAAGAGCCCTGCATTAAGATGCAGAGCTGATTTCCCTGATCCATGAAATTGCCTGGATATTTAAGGCATTCTCAAACAGAACCAGCATGAAACTCACCCTCCATTTCTGGCACAAGGACACCGTGGGTTTTGTGTTCTCCAATAAAAACAGAGCTCAAAATTGCAGAGATTAATATTCTTTAAGAGAGGACCTAAATACAATTTCCTTCCTTTCTCAAGAAGCATTCAATGTCTTGAATACTAAAAGATGGGTTTTCTTGCTGACACAGTGCTCAGATGCCACAGATGCTCAGGTTCTTTGTTGTGAGTGGTACAAGAACCTCTTACAATAAAACACAGTGTGGGACCATCTCTGGAGAGGGACATTTTTTTTTTCCCCTAAATAGGTGGCAGGATTGGAATAGGTACAATATGTGGAGAGCTATGAAAAGATACTATGAAGCAAGATACTGCATTATTTTATGGTCTGAGACTTGGGACATGGTTCAGAATTCCTTACCAAGTGTATATTTCCAGCTGCTAAAGGGTAAGAAAAGACCCACCTATACTTGCAAAGTATTGGTGAGCTGAGGGTCAGGTAGAATTACTTCCAAGGACCCATCCAATGCAAACACACAGACTACAATAATGGGGGAATTTGGAAGGACCATAAACTTCCCTAGAACATTGTCCTGCAGGCTCTGCTACCTTAGATTCAAAGAAGGAAGAGAGTACAGCTATAATGAAACTACAGTTGGATTATGAACAGCTTCCCATTAGTTAGCTAGGAAGGTTTTAGCACAAAATGCACCAATGAAGTATCCTGACACTGCAGTACATGTCATCACAAGCAGCTTTCACACCAGCACAAGGAAAATGTAACACTGGCAGACAATCTTATCATTGATTTCTATCCAGATCACACTGAAAGGGCAATCTCCTTTCAACCTGTTGCATACATTGCACATACAATTTCCAGCACCTCCATTGCAAAGAAAGACCTGAGACTCATACTCAGGTTCAAGACTTTTCTTGGACATGGATTACCCTTCCTTCCTGTGGACAAACAAAGTGAATTACCTAAATTTTCAGATAAAATTTCTCGGTTTTTGCCTTCAGTTAGGCTGATAACCCTTCCCATTTTGTAGCGAAGCTTTGCACTGAGCAATCTAACAGCCAGTACTCTCCTGCTTCCTGTAATTCTGTTCCTACTTAGCACATACAGTGGCCTACATCTACACAGGTATACAAAATTTTAAAAAATACAAATGGAAAGGACTCTTGAAGCCATCTGGTATGTGACCCCATTCAAAGCAAATTCAGCTACACCTAATTAGCTCCTGAGATACGCTTGCCTACCCTACTTAAACAGATTCCACAGAGTCCCTTGGATATTTATTGTGATGTTTTGCTAGTCTTACTATTAGAATGTTTTTCTAATGTTTAGTCTGTTCCAGAAATTTTAATTAAAAGCTCCCTCAGAGGAAGACTGGATTACAGTGCATTCAGATATATGAAAAACAAACATCCAAAGAAATCCACTGACAGAAACACATGACACGTTGAATTTAAGGTTCATAAATTATTTGTGGGTCACATAGGTGTTTTTTCCAACTTTCTAATTCAGAGCAGTTTGAATGAAACCAGCCATTTATGTATCCACCACACTGTTCACTTAAAAGAAGATCTTGATCATAGTAATTTCTTCCCCGATTGAAGTTTTGAAAGCTCTAAGTTCTCTGAAGAAAATAGTTGTTGGCATTTTTGGATGATAAACATCCCAAAGTGAAGATGATAAATTACAGTGTTACCCAATGGTGCAGAAAAGTAGAGAAATGCAAACTGATAACCTCTGATTTATGAATACACACTCATTATTACAAAGTCTGGGGGTTCACAGTTTAAAATCAGTGTTTTCATCTCAGTGCTTACTAAAAGTGTGAGAAGGAAGCATGAAGGGTGGCTGCCATTTTGTAACAGATTAACACTTAATGCTCCTTGTTTCCAGCAGGAATATAAAACAATACAGGACTTCCTGCCTTTTTAAGGTCTACATAAGCTTTTGTTACTGTTCACAGTCACAGAGGATGGGAATTTTTACATCTGGCTTTGCTCATTCATATTAGAAATTTTTCTCACATATTAATATAATCATTCCTATAAACCTTTTCCTTACAGAGAAAAAACATTTGTCCAAGATATTAAAAGAAATCTTGTCATCTGCTTCTTAAAACATGTTGTTGATAGTGACAGAATTTACTTTGAAAGTATTTAAACTTATTATTTCACCTATCAACAGACATTCCCAGTGAAACCCCACCCCATGCACTCCACGTCATGAGCCAAGTAATCTTTTTTGTCACAGTACTGAAGTAAATTATATTACATTCCTTCATCACTTCCCAAAGCTTGGAGATTTTCTAAATTTTTTCTTCTCTCTCCCTGTTACCTCTCTGTTAAATATTCAAAGCAAGCAACAAAAAGCAGTAGGAAAAATAAGGTCAATACGGCAAATTGGAAAAAAGTAAAATGTTGCTAGACACCATCGTTTGGTTGTTACAGTTCTCTTAATCAACCCAAACAGCTTCTCGGAGACGACTAATTTGATTTTACGAAGTGCTAACCCATAGCCATATTTCCTTTGATTCCAAACGTGAAAAATAGCCTTTATCTAATGTTCAGGCACATCATCTAACTACACATGCATTTGCATTACGAGGCAGTGAAACATGGCTGGAGAGCCATCTCGGATGTTATCTGTGTTATTACTCAAGTGGAGACTATAATCATAAATCCTCCTCTTCCCCTCCAACCCCCGCCTTTTTTTTAGAAGTACACTTAAAATCTGGTTTTAAGCTTCACTGGCTCCATTACATTTGAACTTCAGTAACAAGAATGTGGTATGAATGTGTTGAGAGAAAGCATAGACAAAAGGTATATTTTCATAATGTGGTTCAGTTTAACTGTTCCTATAATTAGCTACAACTCATTAGGCAATAAACAGAAAAACAAAGAGATTATGAATGGAAGGGCAATATTTTCTCCATAAAACAAACAAAAAAACTAAAACAGATGCCTGGTTCATGAGGCTTTCCTTGCATAAATACACAGAGCAGCTTAGAAAAGATATTTTCTTGATTGAATATTTTTGTCTAGGAAGAAAACCTGTAAACATTATCTTGAGCAATTTCCATGAAAAGTATTTATTGCTATTGTACACTTGAGATTTTTTGATCCCAAGGATAAAATAACAATACAGCAATGGTCTGCAGATGACCAGCTTTGATCTTTAATTAGTTCTTATAATTGTTTCTTAATTTGTATTCTGCATAATAAGCACTCACCTTCACCGTTTGTCCGGCTTCGGGGCCATCCTGTAAGCAAAGGAAGAAGTCTCAGGTTAGAGGATCTAACAAGGATCACACAGGAATTCAGAAATCTTACTCAATAATCATTTACATGCAATTACACTGTATGTTAATTTAGCATATTTTTCCTGAGGACCATTCAACACAAAGTTTTTGGACATGGTTCCTTTTCATATTGGGCCATGACAAAGGGAGCAACTCTGTCTTAGATAACAGAAACAGCAGTTTTTCATTCTTTTAGATCATATTTTTCAATAGCTAGCAAGAGATTTCTGATCCTTGTGAACATAAAACACACATGAAAGTGAGAATTTAATCCCAGTATGCTTGCTTAAATTTTGATTCTAATGAATGGGCTTAGTCTTCTGGTTTGCTTTAAACAGAACTCATTTTTGGTATAAAAACACCCAGCACAAATAACTGAAAGGTCAGAAACATATTTACATGGCTACATCACTCTTCCTGTATACAAATTCCTGTGAGGAGGAATCACTATTTCCATCATAAGCACTGGGTTACGAGCAGAACGAGGAGATGTGGCTGCCTTCTCTAGGTCAATCCTGAAAATGCTCCTTTCAAGGAAGAGCGTTTGCTGAAATATTCACAAACAAGCACTGTGTTTGGGAGCATTTGCAGGCTTATTCCAAAGTTTTGCACTTATTAATTAACCCCACTTTCCCAGTGGTTTGCCTTTTAGATTTTTTTTCAATGGCAAATCTGGAAGACTGCAATGCAGTCATTTGGCTTCTTTTTTTTTTTTTATTACTATGATCTTGCATTTATTGCCCCTTGAAGTTTCAATGTCCTTTTCTCATTGGACCAGAGAAGAAGGTTGAAAGCTTGATAAAACAAACCATTAAACCTTTTTTTTTTAGTTGACTGGCTCACAAACCTGGACTGAGATGGTGAGCGAGGTGCCGCAGAAGTGTTTCTCCACCACATTCCCAACCCTTTGCGCCGTACGAAATAAATCAGCCACTTCCTCGGGACACAGGTCACGGAAACGCTCCACCGGCCGCAGGGGACAAACGAGGACATCTGAAGGTGGCAGTGTCAAGGCACAAACACAAGGTCCACAAGGAGGAGTGTCTCAACCCCCAGCCCATAACCTGGTTCTGATCACCTCCAAAGTGACTAAACTCTTCCTCTCTGATGATACAGCAAGGGCATCTAAAACACAGAGCTAAATACAGAGAATCTTAGGATGCTTTGTTTAGATCTTGTTTCCTCAAATCCCTCAGATATGGCCAAAATGACTACACTAAGGTCCATGTGCTACTACTGAGACATCTAAAGGAAAGGAGTTTTCACACACTCAAATTTACCGTCTCAGTGGAGAAATGCTCCTGTTAACAGCTCTGAAAGTCAGAGACATTTTCCTTTGTGATTAAAAATAGCGGAAAACCAAAAGAATTTAAGACAGGTTTGGGAGTGTGGTCCGAGACAGCAGTTTTACAATGCTTTTCCACATATGTGATATGTATTTTTTAAAATCTTGACCTTACAACTCTAATTTTTGGTACCTAAATGTGAAAAGCTAACAGTGTGCTGATTATAGTAGATTGCTTCTTTGTACATGACATTAATTACGATTCACAAGGAATGCTCAACTGTTATAAATATTTTTTTTTTAAATAAGATAATTAAGACTGTTTCCTTTTAAGCACAGTGTTCACAAACTTGTAAACATACTCTGATTTAATTCTACCTTGGTGACTGTGCTTCGTGAGTCAGTGAAATGAGGTTATAAAGTAAATAATGGAAGTACACAGATGCTGTTCACAGTCATCGGATCTGCTGTGTTCACAGTAATTAATAATTGCTATGATTCCTTACTTGAAAGTCAATTTTGTAACATTATTAATATGGTCCAGAATTATTAGCTGAGCCTCAGTTGTGTAAATCCAACAAGCAAGAACTTGGGACTTGATTCTCATTTCAATTCCCTGCAGACAGGACTCTTTGCTGACTTACAGAATAGTATTTGCAGAATAAAGACCTTAAGATAACCTTTAACATCACTTGAACTTTCATGACCAAAGGCTATGAAAATTATTTTTTTCAGTATTAAAATGAGTGTTCAAAGGACTATTTGAAGGAAATTAAGTTCCATGCCATTGTATTACAGCCATCTTTATTTTTACTGCCTCTTGAAGCCTGCAGGTATTCAGGAATATTCTCTATAATCCAGGAAAGATAACTAGGAGCTGCTCTGCAGTTAACAGGTTCACACAAACTTTACATCAACCTGATTTTCAAGAACCACATGAGACATTTGAAACAAGGAAAGATTAATACATGTGAAAGATTAAATATTTCCATAAGCACAGAGACAACATGTTTGCATTCACCAAGTTTACTGTAGGAATCGCACTTACATTTCTGACGGGGAGAAAACCAGACATTTTTTGAAGTAAAGAAGTAGTGGCAGGTTTTGATCATTTTTCAGAGTCCAGATGAGGACAGACAAGTCTGTAATGGATATTTGTGAAAGTGGGAGCAGAATTTTCAAGCGAGCTCCACCTCTAGCAGCTCCCAGCAGAACAGGAGAAGACTGGTCCCAGCTGTGGGTGTTAATCTGCTCTGAAAATCTGTCTCTCGGTTTTTCTAGTGCAACATCAGCTATGCCACCACTATTCTCCTTTTCTCTTTTTACAATTTACCATATTAACATTTAATAAAGGAGATGTATATATTTAGAAAGCAGGTACTTGGAAGCAAAACAATCCTGGAAGGGGACAAAAAGCCTGGTTTTGTGGGGTTTTGGTTCTGAGATGCTGTGCCTCTTGGTAAGCTACTGGGCACAGTAAACCCCTTGTAATTCATTTGTGCCTTCCCAGCACACTGTACAAAGCACCTCCATAAAGGATGCCATTGGCTGAGCTCGGGGCCCAAGGGAAGAGCTGGAAAGTTGCTTGGCAGACCTGATTTCCATACCAAGCATGAAGGAATAGGAAAACTAATTAATTTTACTCATAAAAAGGAAATCCATGTCAACACTAAAACAGGAAAAAGGACATTCGTTTAATCTGAGTTCATTTTTCAAAGGAAAGAAGGGAAGCTTGTACCCTTAGGGCATCTGATACTTAAGTAGATAATTATCCTTCTTCTGCAGCACTGCTTTATTATCATGGCTCAATGAACCATTTATAAATGAAGAATTTCCCCTCACTTACCTCTAGCAAAACTGCTGCTTACATTAAGACAAGTTTCCTTTTCTCCTTTAGAATTTTCCCCAGAAGTTTCTCACCCTCTCAGACTTGTACACACCTCAGCAGCAATTGTTTGTTCTCTACCTAGCTCAGGGCCACAAACATAATTTTTGCATTAATCATGGTTTCTTCAACCTGATATTAGCCCTGCAGAGGGCTGTGAAAAACACGAGCTAAACACTGCTTGTGAGAGCTTTTGTTTCCATAGCATATTGCAGAGGGAGAGGGCTGGTTGTGACCAACACAGGACATCTGTTTTCTTTTCTTAATTTTGCCACTAATCTGCACTGTCACTTCGGCAAGTTGCCTCTGTATCTCTCCCTCTCCTCTTCCATACTTTATCTAGCTCATCTGCTTAGACAGCATTTGCCAGGTGGTGCAGTGGATGTTTCCTTATTAAGCGGGAGCCTCTCTGCTCACACGGGGCCTCAAAGCTCTCCTGCAGCACCTAATGATGCACCCATAAAACATGTCGCTCTGCAAAAAGGATTTGCACTTCCTCCTTACATTACCAAAACTCATTTACAACTCAAACTAGGTTTTAACTATATTTCTGTCTTGGAACGTGATAAATAATTCAAAGGCACAATCACACACTAGAGCATCTTTACTGAACTTTCCATCATTTCAAAATAATTCTACAAAGAATAATGATCGAAATTCTGAATCAGAGCTAAATTAACATGAGAATGTAATTAGGACAACATTCAAGCTATATTTAACTATGAATATATTAAAAGGCAAATGTTAGAATGAATTCATGGATTTGAGGTCATTAAGAAAACAACCATCCCCTGCAACTTTAAATCATAGTTTTTAACTACAATTTTTGACACTAGGATAGTTTTTAACTTTATATCCTGGTCAGATTTTAAGCTGTATAACTGCTCTATTCACCTCAAAATTCTTCCTAAGTTTAAAATTACATAAATTGTTCATTGCTTTCTGCAATTACCCACTGCAAAACCACTGCTAGGAGCTCCTGATGCCTGTGTATTAAAGCTGCAAGTGAAAGCGAGTTTGTACTTATGTCTGTGTGCAATTACTCCTTAGACAGAAGCATCTACTGCCATCTGAGATGCCTCAGGGCATCCAGCTGCCACTCCAGAAGGGCAGGAGTCTCCCATATGCCCTGTGTCATAACTGTCATTCAGGTGGGAAACCTGAATCATCTCGGGGTATCTGAAACTGCAGTAGGTGCCTGTGTTTGGACAACAGCCCCCACTTTAACAGAGTGGCTCAGCAGGACAAGGGGCTGATACCCAGCAGACAAGCTGCATGACTGAACACAGCATTCTGCCTTCAGAAAGTTAGAACTTAATGTTTCCTTTCTCTAAACAATATAATTAATAATTTCGTGATTTCTTCATTCATTCTGAACTGCTACTGACTGATGAAGTTTCTATTTTTAAGCTTTGATGTGCACAGCTGTTATTTCCTTCAAATTCTCTGAGTCAGTCCACATCATTAGAGTATATGCAATTTAATATGTCAACTTCTCCATTTTAAGGAGTGAAAAACCTTTACACCTTATTCTAATCCATAACAATACATTTCTCTCTCTAAATCTTGCAAAGTCTCTCAATAGCTTTACTTTTCTTCTTAATACCCAAATATGCACACACAAATCAATATGCAAACCCTCACACGCACTAAAAGCTCCATTAAAGATTCATTAAACAACTAGGAATGTCAGTATTTTTCAAAGACTACCAGTAGATAGTAGCTTAAAACTCCAGGTATTTTAGTGGAAGTGCATAACCATAAAGTAGCTGCAAAGCAAGAGTGGATCAGACCCGTTGCCCTCAAACTGAGCTAAAACCTAAGGATGACCATGTTTTCAACCAAATCTCTTGTCCTTATATATTGGGCACAGCAGACCACTCCCTGCACAACCCTGGGCAGGTGTCTGATGCACCAAAGACCATGAACCTCCTCAATAATTCAAATTAACAGCCTGTTGGTCTGTTAAGATTGTGACTTGTTTGGAAAAGCTCAGACTGGCGGCCAAGCACACATGGTTCAACAGTTTGTGAACACCAGCAGCACAAGGATGCTTGAACACGTGTGCCAGCTCTCAGCCCTCAACAGCCAAGTCTGCACACATTTCTGTAAATCCCTCTTGCTCTTCCACTGACCTTTCAGACCACAATAACTGGGGACCTCTGAGACTGGCACTGAGAGATGTTACTGCAATGTGGTTCTGCAGTGGGCACCTGGAACTGTCAAAGATGTTCAGCAGTGCCAAGCACAAGTGCAAATCCCCCATGGGCATGTAAGTACTGCAGGATGTGCTCACACTGGAGGTGACGGGTCACGACTGGAAAGTGAGCATTTGGTAACTGCCCCGTGACTTTGAGTTGATCGGACAGGGAGGACTCAGTTTCTACAAGAAAAGCAAAACACGTGGCCAACACCTGCATAATGACCACTTGAAATGAAATTTTCCTTCCACTAATACACATAGAGGAGAGCCTGAAATTCAAAGGCACAGCTGTAATTTTTATTTGCTTTATACGAATTTTGACTTTGAAGCTTAAATTATTGTAATTCTGTATTTAAGGTCTAAGCCAGGCTCTGTGTTCCCTTCAATGGGATTCTGATCAACCTCACCAAGTGCCCATTATAAATTTTCACACACAACTATCAAGGTACACACATTCTGTAGTTCTAAAATGTTAGAAAAATGGCCTTTGGGGGATCAAAAAAAAAAGAAACCCCAAAGAGGTTAAAATTCCTTTTATGTAACAAGCTTTAGAACTAAACACAGCTTTTTCCTGGTTAAGTCCATTAATTTGCTATATAGAAACATACTTTCAGTTTTGA